GTTCGGCCTGAGTGGGGGAGCGTGGACTTGGAAACTCCTAGCAACCCAAAGGCGATAAAGGCCAAACACAGGCATCTTGTCATCCTTAGAGAGCTCTCAGTTCCATGCTGCAAAACTGGAGTCTGTTCTTATTCAGCATCTTCCTGGCTGTTTCTTAACCATGCTTCCCTAGCCACGAGGCCATTTCTGTCTCCTCTACCCGACCCCTCTGCCAAGTTGCCCCTAATTCTCTGTCCTCACTTGTTACTTAACACACCTAGCCCTCCACCCAGGTGCAGGCCTAGTCAAATGCTTAGTCCTGTAGAGATGCAAACTAGGCCCCACTGAGGCCATGCTACCTCGAGATATTAATGATATTTCCTGCCCCCCCACATGATTTGACCCTTGAACATACATGGTGGAAGAAGAGAATCAAATCTTGCTGATTACCCTGACTTCCATCCACATGCCTGTACAAATACATGTACACACACACACTCACACACCCTCACACACCCACACCCACCCACCCACACACACACACACACACACACACACAAATACATAAATGTTAAAACTAAACTAAAATGGAGTAAGCAATTTCTGGAGCAAAGTAAATGGATTGGGAAGAGGCAGCAGGAAGCCCTGCTGTTAACCACAAACTAACATTTCTAAATTGTTAAGAGTGGTGCTGGCATAGGGCACAGGTTAAAACCCTAGACCCCTGCAAAACTCAAACTCAAACCTCTGCAGTTGCATGATGTTTTTCCATGCTGTTTTCACTCCCTCTTCACACCTGGGACACTTCCTATCCAGTGTTCCCCACTGTGTGCAGACATTGGACCCACAGTCTTCTGGCACCTCATGAAACTTTAGTGTGCCTACAAATGATGACTATAACTTTTACTTCTTAGGTGCATGTGTGGTGTGTATGGGGAGGGAGGTCATTCGCTCATGTATACATGCACACAGGGAGACCAGAGGTCAAGTTTCTTGTCTTTATTTCTTTCCACTTAATTTTGAGACAGGGTCCTGCCACTCAGTTTCAGGTAGACTGTATCACCCTGCCTCTCTCCTCCCCTCCCCACACACCTGCATGCATGCGTGTTCATGCATAGGCACACAAACACAGGACAATTAGAAGCACATGCCTCCACATTTGGGTTTTCACAAGACTGCTAGAGATGGGAACTCAGGTCCTCATGGTTGTAAATCAATTACTTTTACCCAATGTGCCATCTCCCTGCCAAATGGACCACAAATGTTAATGTCTCTAAAATACATAGCTATAATTTACAAATCAATTCTCGAATTGTTTGAGGGGATTGTATTTTCATTTTTGCCCCAAACCCAAATAGCATTGCTTTGGCTGAATTACTGCTTTCTCTTGAATGTGTGTGCAATTCCCACAAGCAGCGTTGCTTCCCATAAAATCAATCTGAAGAAGAGAATTACTTCTGAAACACTGGCTGAATTCTACCTGCTGTAGCCTTCAATCTGC